TGTGTTCTTATGATTGTGGTTAGGGGTGGATTCGAGCCAAGCCGAGCCGAATAGTACCAGGCTCAAGCTCGACTCGAGACTATTCTATAAGGCTCGAGCTCGAGCTTGAGCTCAGTTCGAGTCAAAAGTTCATAAGCTCGAATTCGGCTCGGCTCGGCTCGTTTTATATTATATAAAAATATTTTATTATATATTTTATAAAAATAAAAAATACATATAAAAAAATTATTTCATATTTAAAAAATTAATAATTATAATATTTTTATTATATATATTATTTTTTATAATTTTATTATATATATTAAATATCAAATATATATATATATATATATATATATATTGAGCCAGCTCGCGAGCCTCATGAGCTGAGTTCTAATAGGCTCGAGCTCAGCTAAAACCAAACTGAGCCGAGCTCGAGCAGCTCATGAAAAGCTCGACTCGTTGCCACCTCTATTTGTGGTTTCTATTATTATTATATCTTTCTATTAGGACAAATTTGTGGTTTTCTATTATATCTTTCTATTTCTTATTGCCATCAAATCTATATAATCATATTTCCATAAAAAACTAGAAATCTAGCAAAATTCCCCTTTCTCCTGTTTTTTTAGGGTATGGGTGATCGTGGGCTGGGCTAGATTTATCACTTATGATAAGAGCCTTAGCCCAGATATATTTAATATATAATAATTTATATTATATCACATATAACATATGTATAAAACATATGTCATGTTATAATCTATGTAAATATAGAATATTATATGTAATATATTAGATGTAAGAAAACTCATTAAGAAATTTTCCTCAATTTTATTTTATTTTTTCTTTTTTGGGCTTTTTAAGTTCACAAGTTCATTTCATTCATCAACTCCCGGTCTCCATAAAATGACAGCTGTGTTCACAAATGGGCCACATGTCTTGGATGCACCTGCAACTGCAAGGGTCAGGGGACCAGAATCTCGCCGGCATAGAAACCCTAATTCCGGCAACGGAACAGATGAAATTCCGGCCTTATGCTTCATGGGAAGGGTGGTTCAAATCTTCGTGCTCAAATGGGGTATAAATATAATAGGAGGCTTTCTACTAAAATGCGCTTATGAACTTTGAAAACCCTACTTATCCTGTCATCTTTAATACTAGTGTATCAACGACAGATCCAGAGTGATGTTCTTGTCAAGTCATCAGAACCACACATCTGGCATCTCAACCATGCCTGTGGGCCCACAGTAGTAGAAAGTAGAAACACCTCATATGAGGGAGGACACTTGCCTCATCGCTGCTTACTAAGCTCTGTATATAAATATAACCCATGGTTTTCAAAACCGGATCAGAAAAACCGGAAATCGGTCAGGCGATCGATTCTATTTTCAAAATTGTTATTTCGTCAAAAACTGTTGATTTGATTAGTAAATCACTGACCCAGGTGATCAAACCGTTAGAACCGTCTAACAGTTTGACCAATTTTTATTTTTTTTTTGTCAGAATGGACCATTCATTCGATTCAAACAATCAGACCATTCGACCCAGAAACCAGACTCTGACCGGTTTATTGTCCAATTCGATTTTAAAAACCTTGATATAACCATGGTTTTGAACGGATTGATTCTCTTCATATATGGCGCGTTTGTTGCGACATGAAAACCACATGATTTAACTGCCACTTCAAACGCTCTCAGCCGTTCTTCAAATGAGAGAGAGAGAGAATAAGGGTCTTGAGTCTTGTCTGAATAATCATTTATTGGAAGTTGTTTCAGTGGGAGTTCTTGCTTGAAGAAAGGTAACATCAAAATTGTGTCCATGTTTATCTATTTTTTTTTTCTCTTTAAACAATATTTGGATCCTTAGCTCGTTTTAGAATTTTAGAGCTTGAACAAGTTAGTATTTATCATCTCTGCATCTCTGCATCTCTGCATCTGAATGAACTGAAACAGGCTTTCTTTTTAAACTTCAGTTTTCAAAGGATTTCATGTCTGTGTTGTTATTATTATTATAATTACGAAGTGGACATGCAAGAAATACTAAAGTTAGCAAAATTAAATGAATCAATCAATCTTTGTGGACTATTTTGATCTAACTGATACTTGTGTCTTTTCCTGATACTGAAATTATAGTAATTATTCAGAGAAGTGGAAAAACAAGACATGTGAGTCAGAGTGAGAATGATAAGCTAAGGGCTACCCCAAAGAATATGTGAAGAGAGTTTTTTTCTTTATGTCATTTAGAGGAATACTCTAGCCCTATTGCCCTAAGGCCCTAAGGGCTACTTCTATATCAAGAGAGTTTTGTTAATACATGGGGTTCAGTGGTTATCCTTATGACCCTGTAAAGCATAAGTAAAAAAGTAACCTCTACCTATTTTCTAGGGTTGATTTGCTTTTGGAAGTAGGCTGCAAGGCTATAATTCAAGGAAAATGATACTGATAAGGCTCTGCATTTAAATCTTGGTTTGATGGACTCAAACAAGTTCTTCTGTCATCTCTGAAATGTAATCTTGCCTTAATGATACAATAAAAAATGGTTTGCTGAGCAACCCAAATGAGCATAGATGATCTTAAACCAAAAGCAGAGCTATAGGATCCAAATTTTGTTAGGGAAAGGAATTAATAAAGTATCCCTTTTGGTTATGATAGTTTAAAGTTTAAACCCTACTTTTAGTTAGAAGGAAAAAAAAAAAAGTGATATTTTCCTGAATAACCCCCCAATAAGCCTAAACGATCTTAACTCAAAAATAGAAGAAATCAATTAAGGTATCTTTTTTTGGGGGTGATTCTGATAGTTTTGACCCCACCTTTTAATTAGAAGGAAAATTGTGATGTTTTCCTGAATAACCCTAATTTGGGGTTCTGATAGTTTAATCTATACTTTTAATTAGAGGGAAACTAAAACAGTGATTTTTTTTCCTGAATAATCCTCACCAACCTACAAGATCATAAGCCCAAAATAGAGCCGGTAGATCCAAAATTTGCTCGGTGTCATTGTGGTTATGGCCCAACATGTGTGACCTAGAAATTATTGGGGCTCTTTGAATTAACCCATGGCACAATTCCAGGAACAAGGTGTAAATGAATTTGGATTAACTGAACACAATAGCTGTACAATGGGCTGTAGAAACAATGATAATGCCCCACGTCAGTAATAAAATATATGGACCCACGATGAGAAACTAAATAGTTGTGGGTCGAAACGTATTTTATTATTGGTGTGGGGAATTATCATTGGTTCCACAGCCTGCTAAACAGCCATTGTGTTCAGCTAATCCATACACAGTGTGAATAAGGTGACAATTTCTCTCCTCAATCACCAACTGGTCCAGCCTTTCTGGGTTTGTTCTAGCATTCACGTAAAGCCCGGGCTGCATTTACCATAAATCTTAGGGTAAATTACATATAGCCACCCTGTACCTAGTGGATGGTAACACTTACCTCCCCAAACTTTTGTTTTGCAACAAGGACCCCTGAGCTTCTAGATTCCAGCACTTTGCCCCCTAACCCATTAATGGGATTGATGGTGAAGGTAAAATTATTAAATTGCCCATATCAGCAACAAATATCAAAATGATGAAAATAACCATTCTAAAGCACAACTTGATATTATTCCCAAGTATTCTCAAGATGAACTTTATTGAAAGAATGTTGAGAGGCAACATGTAAGAATTAGGGTTAAAAAAAAACAGAATCAAAAGAGTAGTTTAGGGTTTTAAAAACATCTCAATCAAATATTTCAATAATTCATGTTAACTGATAGAATGATAACTATACGGGCAAAATGTTAGAACCCAAAAGTTGAAACAAAGTTCGGGGAGCTAAGTTTCATTGTCCCCTAAATACAGGGTGGCTGTCTGTAATTTAACCTAAATCTTGTGCTGCATTTTAACAGTCTTACCAAACAAATTCACAAATTCAACCAAACGAGTCTTGACCTTCGGGTCAAGAGATTTCCGACCCGACTAACCCGGCCCATTATTAATACCTATATGTTCTCCATACTCCAGAGTCCATATCTTTTTTCTTGAATACAGTAATTGCATGACAAGTCCTACTCTCACATGATATGTTCCACTGCACGTTTTGAGGTAACGATTTTGATGGCTATAAGGCCTTGAAAGCTAAACTTAACCACATTTTTCCTTTTTCTTCTCTGCCTTGTGTAAAAGACACATCTCTAAAGAATAATAGCTATATCCAGTTCTAAGCTATATTTGTTCTCTCTTATTTCCATCCACATTTTCATATACATTTTAAGAATGAAAAGTAAATATAAAATAAATGTACATACAAATAACTCTATGATGTTATAAATATGGACCCCTTAAGACTTGTGAACTCATCTTAGTTCAACTTTAACTCTTCTCTTGATTCTTATTCTTTCTTCATGAAAACCCTCATGAAGCTAGTTTGTGATAGGCCGCTGCAGCTGGAAAAGAAGCCGGCAGCCGGTGTCCGGCAATCGGTAGCAACAGTTTGGCCGTGGCAGCAGTTCGACGACGGGCCGAAGAAAATGCGGGTCAAGCCAATTCCTGGAAAGGCCATCTTTGTTCTCTGCATTGTGAGCTTTGTTGCAGGGTCACTCTTCACTAGCCGGACATGGGGCCGCAGCAGGTCAGAAAACAGAGAAAGGGTTCCAATGATCGTTGCAAATCATGTACAGAAACTCAGTACAGCCATGACACAAGATTGTGATAAAAAACCAGTAAGTCCATACTTTGTATTACCCATTCACCCTAGTCAATCTGTCTCGGGTTCAATCGAAATAACTATAAACATGACTCGTGGAATTCTACATTAAGAGTAACAATAAACCAGCTGAAGTGGCCGAACTGAATCACTGCTTAATGGGTGAAGCTGAAGTTTGGTTGGTTACTTCAGCCATTTCAGTGGTTGTTATCAAACAGACACTTGATCTTAGCACCACAGAAATAGTAAAATGCTTTGAGAGCTGGGTCTCAAAATCTCAACTTTTGTTTTCTGTAACATTTATCTACCAGAAATTGGTTGAAGGAAATTCTGGGGATATTATGGGAGAAGTCACAAGGACCCATCAAGCCATTCAGTGAGTACTTTAGACCATTTACTTCATGATTTGCAGTCTCTAATATTAATCTGACATCTGGTTTATATGATTCACGTTTTCTCTTTCAAATTAATCAAAAACACAGATCACTTGATAAAACAATTTCAACGTTGGAGATGGAACTAGCTGTGGCTCGTACCAGCCACATGAGTGGCCTGGGTTCACATGAAGGAGCAACCGGTCGCAGTTTACAGAAGGCATTTGTTGTGATTGGGATCAATACTGGCTTCAGCAGCAGGAAACGGAGAGACTCCCTTCGAGAAACATGGATGCCAAAAGGTCAGTTCATTCTCTTATGATCTTACTTCATTTACTCAGAATAAATTTGTTAATTAATCTTTTCCAAACTAAATATAACTTGGAATAACTAACCAATGCAACCTATTTCTCCAAAAGGAAAAGAAAGTAATTATATCAGTTTGACATCCAATATTAGTATCTGTTTTCACTAAAGGCCTCTGAAAATGACTTATTGCAATGATGAAGTTGAGCTGATTATTAATATACCCTCTTATATTTTATTCAAGGTTCAGAGTATCGACATGTATCGGTCCGTATCAGCCAATACATATCATTTTGGGAGCTCTCCAATATGCCCCTACAGAGGGTGTATTGGGGTTCTGACTGGTTCAGGGAATAGAGGAGCTTTAAACCAACCCCCCTGAACTGGTTTTGAAAAAAAATTAAAAAAAAAAGTACCAATATAGCCCGACACGCCCCTACCAGCGTATCGATATTTTGAACCTTGATTTTATTAGTTTATTATTTTATCCATTAAGATTGTATTTAATTGCAGTGCAATTTTATTTATATCAGTACAAATGCATGGGAGTGCAAATGAAAAGAATGCAAATTCTCGTTTGATTTTGTTTTGGGGTTTTACTTTACTTTTGCTTCATGTCTTAATTTACTTCATTTGTATTGCAATCAAACAAGATAAGCTTAAATTTAAAACAAAAATAAGTCAAAATTTATATTCAAATCATTTGCACTGTCATAATTTTGCATCACTATAAATTCATTTGGAAGGAGTACAAATACAAATATGTAAAGTGCAAAACCTTATAGTTTATATTATTTTGTATGTATTTTCACTGTGCATATTTGTATTTGTATTTGTACTCCTTCCAAACTGAACCTAAAAGAAAAAATATAAGTCATTCAATTTAGCCTCTTCAGTCGTTGCCAAATGCCCCCAACTTCATGGATTCTTGAGGGCACTTGAATGTAACATCCCTCCTATTAATAAATGAGTAACTGATTAAAAAAAAATGAATATAATTATTCATATTCCTTTTTCTCTTTGCCTAAGGCGGTGTCCATGTGTTTGTTTTCAATACAAATCTGAACCAGATACAAATTTTGCACCTATTTGAGTTTTGCATCCATTTGTTTATGACAATGATTGCACTCCTTGTTAATACAAAATTTGTACATTTTTATATTCGAGTAATCTGCCTAAGATGGGGAACTTGGTCCACATTCTGAAGTCAGTGACCCTTTTTTCTTGTAAAGTTCAATCCGAGGAGCCCATTTGTTTATTGGCCTAGAAAACTAGAAGACACCTCTTAGCTTAGCTATTATAATGAATCCCCTTGTTTACATCTTTCTAGCCATCAATAGTTTCTTGTTGGACTCATCTGCCTAAGATGGGGAACATTCATGGCCCACATTCTGAAGTTTATAACCCTTTTTTTCTGGTAAAGTTCAATACCAAAAGCCTATTTGTTTAATAGGCTCCAAGACTAAGGACACAAGATTGCATCCATAGATAATAGACTGAAATACTCAGAAGAAAGCCCAGTCCCCTTCTGAGTTGTTGAAAGAAGTCTGACATGCAAATTAGGTCCATTAACTACCCTGCCCATTCCATGAATCCATCTTTCTGTTGTTGATCAGCTTCATACTTAGGCCTCGTTCATTTTGCAGATTCTAGTAGGGGGGAAAGTCGGTCATGGGATTGTGATTCCCATTGGTCGAGTATCCCATGTTCTCTTTGACTTTGAGGACTTAGGTGGGACTCACAGTAAATATGTTTTTCCCAGGTATCACTTAACCGGGGAAGTGTTACCTTTCTCCCACTTGGGAAAGTTAATTCTCCCGAGCGGAGAGTAAATGCTCAAAATACAATATGCCAAAATTATCCATTAAAACAATATAATCCAAAAGACATGAATTTGGGCCCAAGAGTAAAAATGACAAAAGATAGAAAAATTAACCACTTACCCGGGAAAGTGGGTGAAACAAAAGAACATAGGAAAGTTGAGAAGTCTCGTTTACCTGAGTAAATTTAACAAAAAAAGAACAGGTAAGTCGGGTAAAAGGCCTCTTGGTAAACAAACAATGCCTTAAGGCACAACCAATCCAAAACTGGGCCCACACACACCAATCAATGACTCTCCATGCATGTATGCAGGAGCCGAACTTAAGAAGCTGGAGAAGGAGAAGGGAATGGTTATTCGGTTTGTAATTGGGCACAGTGCGACACCAGGAGGTGTACTTGACAAAGCAATTGATGCTGAGGATGCTGAATACAAAGACTTCCTTCGACTGAAGCATGTAGAGGGCTACCATGAGCTCTCCACGAAGACCAGGTTGTATTTCTCCACTGCTGTCTCCATCTGGGATGCTGATTTCTACGTCAAGGTAGATGATGACATTCATGTCAATTTGGGTAAGCTCTCTTCGTTCTCCTTTCCTTTCCTCCAGCATATATTCATTCATTCAACATGAAATCTTTTGGAAGGACTGAAATGCAACATTTTGTGGATAAGGCCATGGTTATGATTCTGGTGAGTTTTGTAGGAATGCTTGCAAGCAGACTAGCGCAATACAGATCCAAACCAAGAATATATATTGGGTGCATGAAGTCTGGACCGGTTCTTTCCCAAAAGTGAGTCAATACAAACAACCCATTTAGTTTTAAAAACTGACCTAGAAACAGAACCATTTTGGTCACCCTTTCCTGGATCAAACAATCCAACTGCCAAAACCGGACCCATAGCCATGACCGATTCCCAGGTCAACGTCTGATTCGTTCCGGTTTTCAAAACCATGCTAAATATTGAGAATTAGGACATGTGACCACTTTTGAAGGATAATACCCTTCCTAGAGCTGGCTCAATTCCTGAAAGTTGAAACTTAAGGCTATATTTGGTTTGAAGGAAAAAATAGGGAAAGGAAAGGAAAGATATGAAAACCTATGCAAGGTTTGTAAAGGCTTCCCTAACTTTCTTTTCCTTTCCCTACTTTTTTCCTTCAAACCAAACACAACCTAAGTGCATCACCCTTTTGAATGTGCATATTGATACTTTGAAGCTATCCCAAGCCAACCCACTTAGTGTTTGGTAATCTCATTGACATTGGCACCTGTTCTGAACTAAATAATAATGTGCAGGGGAGTGAAATATCACGAGCCAGAATTTTGGAAGTTTGGAGAAGAGGGGAACAAGTACTTCAGGCATGCCACGGGCCAAATCTATGCCATTTCCAAGGATCTTGCTGCTTATGTATCTATCAATGCGTAAGTTCCCCCCTGTAAACCTATCTTAAATCTTAGGAGATCACATCTCCGCCCCACAGCACATCCCTGTCATGTATTGGGAACATCTCCCAATGATGGCATCATCGGGACTGGTACTATCATCGAGAGATGTTCCAAATACACAGCGGGGATGTGCTGTAGGGCATTGTGGGGCAGAGATGTGAACTCAAATCTTAGTGCCCATTAGGGATTATGGTGGCTTTACCAGATGGGCCCATTCCAGACAGCCTACAAACCATGTTTGGTGAAAATCCCATAAAGCCCAACATAAGAAAGCCAAAAGTAAGAGGCTTTCTGCTGAAGCTTCTTTTAGTGGTTTCTCCAAAGCAGCTCAGTGAAAGCAGTTCAACCAAAGTTTCAACCCTCCCAAACGGATCCTTAGCTGTATATCTTTCTCACCTTCCTCTGATACTTTTTTGCAGACCCATTTTGCATAGATATGCCAACGAAGATGTTTCTCTGGGGTCATGGTTAATCGGCCTAGAAGTCGAACATATTGATGACCGTTCGATGTGTTGTGGGACCCCTCCAGGTATGGACAGTTCTAACAGTGTTTAAATTGAATTCCAAGCATGCTTTTTCTAATTGTCCATGGGAGCCTAGAAGCAACAAAGACACAAAGAAAGTTTATGCACTCACACATAAGAACCATCCTTGGGCACAGAAACAGAGTAAACATGTATGTAGTTATGTACTATGGGAAGTTTTCACTGTTCACCAATATGAGTTTTGATTTTTTTTTTCTTCCAAAAAATGCCACATCAGAAATTATTGAATATATGCTTTCTTAAAACAAAGCGAAAATGTTGAGTTTTCTACTAATACGTACAGTGCAAATACATACCAAAATAATACAAAATACAAGATTTTGTACTCCACATTTTTATTTGTACTTCCAAACTGAGGCTAAGGCACCATTTGAAAGGAATACAAATACAAATATGTAGAGTGCAAAACTTTGTGTTTTGTATTATTTTATATCTATTTGTACAGTACATATTTGTATTTGTACTCCTTCCAAATGGAGCTTAAGGCTCTATTTGGGAAGAGTGCAAATACAAATATGTTCAGTGCAAAACCTTGTATAGGGTATTTCTAAACCTTGTATATGTACTGCACATATTTGTATGTTGCACATTCTCCAAACTGAGCCAAAAGAAAAAAGTTTTCAATTTGATTTTAAATAAAAATAAACTTATTTCTAAAACTGGCAAAAGAGACACACACATCAACTAATATCCATTCAATCAGAATTTCTATCAGAAAATTGCACGCTTTCTGAAACATAAATATCAAAGCATGAGAGGAAATCATGCTAATCGCATTTCTAGTTTCAGTTTTAGAGAAAAGAAAATACAAAACCAAGAAAATGATTTTGTTTTAAGAAGATGATATTCCTAAGCCATTTGTAGGACCTAGTTTTCTCGAAATCACAATAAAAAAAAAAGAACAATTCATATGACAATATCCACTTAGCTTAGCATGTACTAAGAATAAGCACAAGAACATAGTACATAAAAGCATTTATATTTCTTCCTCTAAAGAAATGATCAATTAATTGAAGTTCTGTTTTACTTTTGCCTTTTAAATCACCTCCTGTAGACTGTGAATGGAAGACACAGGCAGGAAATGTATGTGTAGCATCCTTCGACTGGTCATGCAGTGGAGTATGCAAGTCTGTGGAGCGGATGAAAGATGTACACAATACATGTGGGGAAGGAGAGAGGGCCGTTTGGAATGTCGATATTTTCACAAAGAATTAGAGAGAGAGAGAGAGAGAGAGGCAAGTTTGCATGCTTTTATGTGTTTTAAAAGTACTGATCAAAATAAGGTTAGAGTTTATTTCTTCCATCCTTCTGCTTATTGCTTATAAAAGACTGTTGGAGGTTGAGCCACTAGCTTTTTTCTTAGTGAGCCAAACAAGGCTTTGGATTACAAAACTGTTGTTCCTCAAGATTTTGTCTTTTTCTTTTTTTGTCCTTGTCATGAACAGTGCTGCAAAGGAGAAAAGAACAAAGTAAAATGTTATACAAAAACCGAAACCAATGAAAAGATTTACGAGTAACGAGGACAAGGCAGAAGTATAAATTAAATTTTAACGAGTTAACCAAATAATGACCTCGTTCTGACCACTGTACATATAGAATTGTGGTTTGATTTGATTAGAAAACTAACTGGGTTGGAAATGGAATCAAAACTAACTGGTTTGAGAGATAAGATTTTTAACAAGTGAACCATTAATAACTTTATTATATTTAAATTAAAATTTTGTTTTTAACGATTTTTTCTTCACAAGGGGCAATGAGATATTTTAAAGATAATGGTTTTAATTTAGAATTGGATAACTAACAATTCCGAGGGGAAATGTTTAAGATAGGAGGAGACCCACAATCCGCATGACATTTTGTGTTCAGGCATCGCTGGCTACCTGTGAACAACATAAAACTATGGTTGCATTTGGATAAGATTCAAGATTTGTGCTTATTAAGTCTAAAAGCACAAAACCGACCATTTAACTAATATTTTATTGTTCTTTAATGTTAAAAATAAGTAACTAACTAGAAAGAATAAACTAGGATAAGGATTACCTAGTTAAGGAAAGACTAGGAAATCAGAGACTAACTCGGTTCAGTTCGGTTCGGTTTCGGTTTTTACATAAAAACCAAAACCAACTGAATTATCGGTTTATCCCTCTTCACAACCCGAAACCGACCGGTGGTGAAAAAAAAACGACCAAATTGGGTTGGGTCGGGCCGGTTTGGTCAGTTTGGCATTGTTTGTGAACAGCTCTACGTACCATCCCTTCAAAATGCAGGATGTACATTGATAGTTCTGTTTAAACTTGTTTTGATGGTAACCTTGAAGTCATTACAAGATTGTTAACCCCTTACCTTTTCACTTATACCACATGCAACAAACGTCCCTTCCTGTTTATAAGAAGAAAATACTTGAGAGAAGATAGAGGAGCCAGGCCACTCTACCTGAATCAAGAAGTATGGTAATACAAGGTCTTCAATGGAACCAGGCCACTAAAAAAGACCCATGCAATGCACAGAATAGTGTCCAAAGATCCCTATGCTCCACGAGGGAGTGGTTAGATTCAGTCAAGGTTAAAAGTATCAATATGATATATCCAATAGTGTTTCATATCAATTTTCAAGGCCACTGGCAGTCTATCTTTGTAGTTGTGTTATCTTAATGTTTTTAAATGATAAAAGACATCATATGGCAAAATGACAAATTGCCAGATCAAAATGATATCAAATCCTCTCTCTCTCTCTCTCGTAGGAGAGGAGTTTCCCTCAAAGAAAAACCCTAAGGTGAGCAGCATCTCACCACACTCCTTGTATAGCTACAGTAATTGCTAGATCATTTCCTCACATAAACTTGGCAGCTTCCTCGTATGATTTCTAAGCTCCCAAGAACCTTCTTGCTTGTTTCTAATCCATTCCACAAAAAATCACCTTCCAAGACTAGGTTGTGATAATTATGATTCGTTGCCATCTTTAGGCCTTAGAGTGCCTCCAACAATTCTGCTCATATGGAGGCCCTTATGACAATAGGCCTTCAGAGGCTAAAGATGTGTTCATTACCATCTCTCAACACCCCCAGTACAGAATTTCCAGGGTTGTTAAGGCTGCAAACATCAAAATTCAATTTAACTTGACCAGTCAATAGGTGGGACCCACATCATGGAAAGAAAGATCATCAATGAAGAGAAGTTGGCAACCACCTGCCACCCTCTACAAATATCAATAATAAACGCCAAAAAATATCCAATGGCTTCACCTGAGTGAGCAACCTTTATAGAGATGTATTTTTAATAATAGTCTCCTTTGAAAGGCTTTTATTCTTCTATTCTTTGAGTAATAAAAATCCTATTTTCCTTTCTGAAATTGTTTACTCTGATGTATGAGGGTCAATGGTCATACCATCTGCTTTCTATAGGAGGACTTTTTTTTTATACTTCTTAATACACATGGCTTCACTAGATGTGTTTTCATGATGAGGTATCCAAATTAATTTATCAATTTCATATGATGATGCTCACAAAAATCGATATTTGGATCAAAACATTCGAATCAAACAATGCTAAGGAATATATTGATAAGAGAATTGATGCATATTTATCAAATTATGGGCATTATACATCACAGCTCCTATGTTACAGCCATTAGAAGAATAGGGTTGCTAAGAGAAAGAATCATCACATTCTTGAAGTAGCCCACAATATCATATAATCCTCATGTTCTCATTTGTTTTTGGGGTAATATTGTGCTTCTTACTACTATTTATTAGATTAATAGGATTTCTTCTTATGTTCTTGAATATAAAACCCCCCATTAGTCTCTTGTATCCAATGGTGATCTATTTTCTATTCTGTCAAGTGTTTGGGTGCATTTGTTATGTCTATATCATGGTCCCCATTAAATCAAAGTTTGACCATAAGTCCAGGAAATGTGTTTTTCTTGGTTATCATTGCTTTGATCCTATCAGTGGTATCTTGTCCACCACCAGTCACTATTAAGATGATAGATTCCGGTACTCTTCCATCTTATACAACTCATTTAGCTGATCTCCCATTGCCCTCAAGAAAGGTAAATATCATTCTTCCAATGCCCATTGCATCCCCAAGTACATTTCCTATAACCTTTTGTCTCCTACATACAAGTCCTTTCTTGTTTCTATTTTTAACGAGTCTATACCAGAAATGTATTGAAAGCACCATGTATGTCTAAATGGAGGTATGCCATAAGAACTGAGATGGATGCATTGCAGAAAAACTAGATAAGGAATATTGTTAACCTACCTGATGGGAAGGAGCCAACTAGATGCAAATATATACTATAAAATACAAATCATATGGATTTATAGAGGTACAAAACCAAACTTGTAGCCAAGGGCAACTGCAGACATAGAGGGTGGATCATTTAGAGAACTTTGCTCCTATGGCTAAGATGAATTCAATGTGAGTGCTTTTCTCCCTTGAAACTTCCTATTCATGGCTACTTTACCAACTTGATGTGAACCCATCCAAGTCCAAAGCTCTGAATTCGTCCATGCTAAAGATAGGTCTTCCTATCTCATCTTCCTCAAAAATTTTGTCTTGGGGCCTTTAGTAGAAGATATTATTCGCCACTTTCTTTAGAGAAAGAAATTGCCTAATGACTAAATCACATTTCTTTCTTTCCTTTAATACATGTGTATTCTTTTCTTTTCTATTTCTTTCCTTCTTTTCACTTTGCTCTCTCCTTTCTTGGGGAGTTCACAGCTGTCATCACATCTATGCTTTTTCCACTTCTAATCAATGTTTTAAAAGGCATGGGAGGTGTACGCATGTAGGTGCAACTCCAAACAAAGGCACCCTCAAAACACCCTAAGGCATATGTCAAAGGTATTGATGCCTCTAAGGCGTGCGGATGTGGCGTACACCTCATTCACCTTTTGCATGAGGCGTGCTAGAGGCGTACTCCTCATGCATGCCTCATACAAAAAAAGGCAAAGAAAAAAGAAAAAAAAAAGGAAAGAAAGAAAAGGAAAGGAAATAAAATGAAAGAAAAGGGAAGGAATGAGAAGAAAAAAGAGAAAAGAAAGAAAAGAAAAGGGAAGGGATGGAAAGAGGAAGGAAAGAAATTTTGGGTTAGGGGCAGATGGCTCACTTGCCCCAACTTTGACAAGCCCCCCCTCCTCAACTAGTGTTGTGTATCTTCATTCTATGGAGATTCTGCAATGTTCTCAAGAAAGATTGGGAAGTAGCAGGTGGTTAGTGGAGATTCTGTAGTAAGGAAGCAGAAGGAGCAGTCCAAGTAGCAGGAATGCAGATTACAGGTCAAGCAGCAAAGGACTGTAGAATAGTCTGCAATGCTCTCAAGAATGATTGGGAGAAAAAGTCGACAGCCCCACCAAAAGACTGGAAGAGAATTGCTGAAGTGTTGTTAAAGAAGCTAAAGCTGAGCTGCACTATCATTTTAACCCCCTTTGACAAGCATAAGGAAGGCTCTTCTTGAGTCAGCAGGAGAGGAGATTGAACTCCATGCTGTGTGCTATCAACTGGATTTAGATTCAATGACTGTTTAAAAATGGACCCCGCATTCCAACTCCAGGGACTTGCATGCGAGAGACAATAATCATTCAGATCTTGGGTCTACCTTTTCGTCTTTGGACTTCAGAAGTATTTGATTCTATAGCTTCTCTGTGTAAGGCAAGAATGGATGGTTTTTTTTCCGTTAAAGATCTCCACTCAGCTGCAGTTTATCTGACTAATGTGAACCTGGAAGATATCCCCCATTCAATAAAGGTGCTGGTTGACAGAGCATTCTACTCAGCCTGGTTGGTAACAGCCACTGAAGTTGACTTGTGGAGAGACGGGAGTAGGAAGGAAGATGAGAAGGTAGAAGGAAAATTGTTATGTGGAAATTTGGGATTGACTCATTCAAATTTTGTCGAGGATTTCATTAATGTGACAAGCCTTGGGGAGAAGGAATTAAAAGGGAAGACACAAGCTACCAAATGGGAAGAATGAATAGGAGAAAAGGAAAAGGAGGCGTGTCACAGGTCCTATGCTCAGGTGCTGACAGATGCCTGTAGGCAAATGTTGGGTCAGCAATTTTCACCAAAGAAGTAACCAAACAGTCAAGGAGGTTAAATAGAGCTAAAAAGGGATTAAACTATCATGGAAGTCAGCTGGTTAGGGTGGAGGGCCACGTGGGCATGAGTAGAAAGGATGCTTGTTTAAATAAACTTTTGTTCTGTACTATGGTCAAAAACTGGTAGCCTGAACCACACCACACCCACATATGCGTTCTGCAAGGTGTTGGGTGTCGTGTGGTTCAGGCCACACCCTGTATTTTGATTCCAGGTATCTCATATACACAATGTGAGGTAATCTATGCCATCAATCAAGAGTGATATTTTTTGACGTTTTAAATTAATAATACAAATTGATTTAACATGTGATCAATTATTAACCATGACTAAACTCATTTATCAAAACAAAATTATTAACCATGACTAATACGAATTAATAAAAATTAGAATATGAATTGAAAAAACTAATATTGATTAAAAATTAAAGGTGATGGACCAACCCCTTTTAGGTTTGAGAATATGTGGCTACTTCAGCCAGGGATCACTGAGAAAATCAGAGAATGGTGGGAGCACTACAATCCTTCGGTAATTTGGGAGGGTATGAGATTCCACAAGAAATTGCAATATCTAAAATCTCAGATAAAAGAGTGGAACCTCTTGGAGTTTAGGAGATTGGAGGAAAGAAAGCAAAGTTTGATGGAGCGGATTGAGGATTTGAATACGAAAGAACATAGGGGATCTTTTGGAGAGGCTGACAAGGAGACTAGATGGAATCTGAGAAGGCAACTGGAGGACCTTTTGCATAAAGAGGAAATAAGTTGGAAACAAAAATTGATATGCAAATGGTTAAAAGAGGGAGACAAGAATACTAAATTCTTCCACTCTGTGGCAAATGGTAGGAGAAGAAAGAATTTTATTTCAAAATTGGAAGTTGAGGGTGCAGTTTTATCCGACCCGGTAGTGATATCCCAGGCCTTTGTAAATCACTTCAAATCCATCTTCAAAAGGCCTTTAAATGGAAGGGTTTGGATAGATGGACTAAAATGGCCGAATTTGGAAGAAGAGAGAAGGGAGTGGTTAGAGAGGAGTTTTGAATTGGAACAAGTAAAGGAAACAGTTTTCTCAATGGACAAATCAAAAGCTCCAAGCCCTAATGGCTTCACAATGGCTTTCTACCAAGACTATTGGGAAATTTTGATATAGGATCTGATGTCAATTTTTTATGAGTTTCATAGAAGGGGGGTAATTAAACCTGGGGTTGAATTCCACATTTATTACTTTGGTCCCAAAGAAGAAAGAGGCTTCACACCCAAGGGATTTTAGGCCAATCAGCTTGGTAAACAGTTTGTATAAAATAATTGCAAAAGTTCTACCTCTTAGGATTAAGAGAGTTCTCCCTTCTATTATTGCACCCAACCAATGTGCGTTTATGTAAAGACAGATCACTGATCAAATCCTAATTGCAAGTGAGAGTTTGGAGAGCTTTAGGAAATCAAAGAAGGGAGTGGTTTGCAAACTAGATCTAGAGAAGGCCTATGACCTAGTGGATTGGTCCTTTTTGCTAGAGGTGTTGAGATGTTTTGGGTTCGGGAACAAATGGTGCAAATGGATTTGAAGTTGTGTTAGAAGCTGCCATTATTCAATTTTGGTTAATGGAACTGTGGTTGACTTCTTCCCTGCCTTGAGAGGGATAAGACAAGGTGACCCCCCCTTTTTGGTTCACCCTGGTTGCAGATGTCCTAGAGAGACTAATTCAAAGAGCTAATTCAAGGAACTCATTGAGAGGCTGCAGAGTAGGAAGGCAGAAAGTTCCACTCACCCACTTGCAATTTGCAGATGATACTATCCTTTTTTGCGAAGGTGGGGACATAAATTGGATTAGAAGTTTAAAATTAGCAATACAACTCTTTGAGCAAATGTCTATCTTCAAACACTCGGTCATTCCTCTCCTTCCACAAGCACCAAATAAAGCCAAGGGCAGCAAATTCCAAAACACCTTACCTCTTCCACTAATGGCTCGAACATGCCAAGATGAAAACAAAGGAGCCT